TGTGGAGTTTCAACAATAACACTTCTCACTTTACGTTATGTGGAAGCGCAACACGTACTGGCGCTCCTCTCCACGTCACATGGACGAAACGAAATTTGCTCATGGTGACGGAAGTTGGCACACTTTTTTTTTTTCGTCCAATCCGGACGACAATACGGTGCACGTTTTTTTTTTTAGCGCGCACGCGTTTTCGCGATGTCGTGCACGCCGCTCTCGTTTTGTGCACGCGTTTTGTGTCGATGATGATGATGATGACGACGATGATAGTGGTGCAGCCGCTCCGCCGCCACACCCAAATGCGCGACGCTCGTTGAATTCCGCGCGCCGCAACACACCGTCGCTCGCACGCACGCACGCACGCACGCACGTACTCGTGCGTAGTACACACACGGTACAGCAGCTGAAAGCAACTGACGAACCACGATGACACGATGCGGGGACAAGGTAACTTCCACCAAGAGAGACGAGAGAGAGAGGAGAGAGAGAGAGAAGGGGGACTTTTCTTGCTACATACGTACGCGTATCCACCCTTCTCTCCTCCTCGCCGTATAGAGTAAGAGGTCCGACCGTTAAAAGACCGTTTCGTTCGCTTCGGATCTCTCACGTGTCTTTTGTGAATCTGTCGAGACGCGCGCGCGCGCACGCCTGGAAGTCGCGATTTTTTACGAAACAAGTTTGCGTTTAATTACATGCAAAAGAGACCCCACTTTTTCGTAATTGTCGTTCGCGGCGTATCCTCTTCTCGCGCGAATGTCCATTCGAAGAACAATGACATGTCGGAGACATCGCGCGCGATTGTCCCGGATTTCTGTTCTGTTTCGCATTGTTCCGCATTTTCGCGGTTTTGTTTGGCTAAAGTCGCCGTCAATTTTCAAGTCGCAGTTTTACGTCGAATTTCTCCGAACACGCGCGCTGTACACACACACGGCGCGCGATAGCACGCTCGCTTCTACCTGCTTGCCTTCCTCTCTTTCCCCCCGCACCTCACTCTCTTCCTTCATTCTCTCCGCTGGTCTGTCATACGCTCTCGCTGCTGCATGCTACGCCGCTTTCAGCGGTTCTCAAACCCATCTTTCGGACGCTTCCCGTCGTTCTCAGGGTTCGCGCCCCTGCGAGCGGCACGAATTTTTGTTCTCGATCGGTTACCGAAAAAACCTCGATTCGCCAAACTCGACAAACTTCCAATTGGACACGTCGACTCTTTTTTCACAGTAATACTTCTCGAGAAGTCTGTCACTTGTCATTCGAGAATAAAGATACTGCCAATTTTTATTCCCTATATAAACATCTTGCGACCGCGGATTTACGTGCTTCGGAATACATTTGAGAGAGAACAATGGTAACCGAAAAATTGTCACATTTTTTTTTTTTTTTTTTTCAATTCTATTCAAATTCAATAGAGTCCAGATTTCTCTTCTTCAGATGTCGTGACAAACGTAAGAAAATTTGCACACCGCTGGCGGGACGTACCGAATACACCGGCACTATCGAATTCGGTGGTGCGTGTAATTATCGTGCGTACCATATATTCGTTACGCTGTTCGTCCTGCTCTAAACGACACACACGCACGTATGCGGAAAGCACGTAACGTCGCACGGGAAAATTTTTATTCGTACCGAGATATTCAATTGACTAAAAAAAAAAAAAAAATGCAGATCTTGCGCATAAATCGTGTGAGAGAAAATCGATCGGATACAAAATTACTTGCTTTTTAAAAAAAACGTTCCGAAAATATCGAGAGAAACGTCTCATTTCTCGATGTAACGTGCGATTTTTTTTATTCTTAGACTTTGTCAAGATTTAAATTTATATATAAATTTTACATTCGACAAAACGATATCCCTCCCCGATCGATGAACGGTCCGTCGTGTTAAACGGGTAAGACCTGATCTTAAAGACGGAAAAAAAACCGGTAGAGAGAGAGAGAACAGTCAATGGGAATATAATACCCATCTAAGCAGAGTATTCGAAGGACCCGCATTGCTTCATTAGCATGGCATTATATATATTATAATACCACATACATATATACATCGTATATAATATACATATATATTTATATTGTGGTGTGTTATATATATATAATATAATATGTAATACACCGCATATATATGATACACATACATACATAAACCCACACTGGTCACATGTGCACTGTATCACGACGTACATACGCGAATCGGCTTTACATGTGTCGCGACGAGCGCATTTCCCAAATACACCTCTGACATCATCAGTATAATTACCGCACATTTTATTAATTGTGTCGCATTATTACGTTATTATGTACATCACCAGATAATGTATGTTCTAACGGCTTGTTTATTGCACTTAAACGGCCGTTTCCTGTTTCACCACATACACATCTTTACGTACGCACATGTCCCTCTCTATGTAAATTCTGTGTAACGCACAGGAATATACATGTATATGTGCGTTACACAGGAGAAGAGCAATGTGCGTTACGTTGTGCACGCACATCGTTTCTCTTTCTCCTCAACCTACAAATCGTGTGTCCGTGTGTTGCGCGAGATAGAATTGTTGAAAATTGAAAATATGGCAAATTAAACGATGCTCGTCGCGCTCAACTTTCTCCCGCCATTGAATTCTCTTTGAGAGAGACCCAGCTTTCTTGTAATACGCGAAACTTTTTACCCACAGTCGTTTGTATTTTTTTTTCTTTAATTGAGAGCGAGCGGAAGATAGCATCGCCGTTTGTCTCTAAAAGTGATATTTAATATTGTTTTAATGTCCATTGTGTTTTTATATCCGCCGATATATGTATCTAATTAGCGTCTAATTGGATTATTTTTTCTACGCAACACCGCGAGAGAGAAGCCAAAGAAACAACAAAGGTTGCGAATGTCATTGCATCGTCATTTACAACGAATACTTTTAAGTGCTCGAATCTACAACGTGTGTGTCTATGTATGTCACCTCGCACGCGGGTAATAAAAAACAAATTTTTTTTTTTCCACGTATCTTCGTGTATTAGAACTACGCACGTGGAGACTTTTGTCCTACGAGGTTACACTGACGCCGGACGAAAAATTGAGCGTAACGTGAAAACAAACGGTGACCGTCGTTAATTGACTGATTTATTAGGCAGAATGAGAGATTTCGTATTTGCATCTCTAAGGCTCGGTGCTCCGAAGTCTTTCTTTTACAAAACTCTGAAGCGCGATCCTAGATCGTCTTATATCTCCAATGTCATATTTAAAACGGATAAAGAAAACTACAAGAAAAAAAATTGACCTATTTACAGACACCTCAATAAAATTTATAAATGTTATCGGCCAAATGATAATTGCGTCTTTGTCTTCGATGCTAGGAGAAAACTTACACCTAACATAGAAAACATAGAACATAGAACACAGAAATACACGCACATACACACACGCGCGCAATGTCTCAGTTTTATCTTGAAACCGATACGTGTACGTATATCAATCCTGATACATAAAACATTCCTGCGTGCTAAAGTTACACGCGAGATAAATTTTCATAACGGAAGGTCAGGAGTTATTTAACAAACACACACACACACCAATGCAAGCGAAAGATATGGGGGAAGTTATTTAAAAAAAAAAGTTTCTAAACACACACAAATATATTGCAGAATGAATTCACAGTAAAAAATTATCGCTCTGTGTGCTGTTTGTCCCTCGAATCGAAACACGTTCGTCTGACGAACTTTAAAAAAAAAAAAAAAAAACAAACCTCACCCGAATTTCCACAAATTACATTTACGGCGGAGATTAGATACGATGAAATTTAGAAATCTAATGATAGAGCGAGAGATAAGCCCCTATCGAGATTATCGAAGATATACTTCGAAGAAATACGTTATTGCGAGTGAAAGGCGTTAATAATAATCCGCGGTGTTATAAGGAGCGTGTAAAAGTTCGCTAAGTTCTAGTTCTGGTCATGCGTAAAAGCAAATATATATCAAAACCCGGTAAATTTTCCAATCTCGCGCCCGATTTCGATATTGCGCGGATAAAAATTAAAAATTACAGAGAGAAATTAACTATCAATCTTCTCTCTCTCTCTTTCTCTCTCTCTCTCTCTCTCTCTCCCTCTCTCTCTCTCTCTCTCTCTCTTTCTCTCTTCATGCAGCGCAATCACGAATATTCCTTCAATAATCTCTATATTTAGCACAGTCCGAGTGTTCTATTCGCGTTTCAATGTTTGATCGATTGTTGTTCCTGCCTTCTCGCGGTCTCTTCTCCGGGCCACTTGTCGCGAAATTGACTAAAACCAGATGTGGGCCCCAAAGCTCGTTAACGCAACAGTCTCGCAGGCAACGCCGGAAAAGAAGAAAAAATCCTACCGTGCTCTTCGAGAGATTTCGGGAGTCTGTGCACACGCGATCTTCCGAATTGAATTTAAAGCAAAGAAATGTACGTACAGACTTTCTGAATTAAATTCGCTATATATAAATTCGAGAACAGCCAGAGCACGGGGAGGAAGAAACCTGAATTCGAACGAGTTAAACAGACTGAGACGACACGACCGTATCTCGTAATTGTGGAATTTGAGACATCGGTGTAGGTAGGCGATAAGGCGCGCGATATCAACAGGTCTGATGCATCGCATCACGTCGCGTTTCGTAGCTTCAAACAAAGCGAAACCCACCACAATCGGAGTTTCACGTTACACGCTCACCGACTGTTCTCCTATACGATACGTACGTACGTAGTAATACGCGCGGCGCATATATTTACCTGTCGTGCCCAGGACAAGACGTGCTTCCCCAAGGTTTTCTCCTTGAAAATTCCACGATTTTACCACTACTACTGTAACACCACCGGCAGCGGTGGTGGTGGTGGTGGCGGCGGCAGCGGCGGCGGCGGCGGCGGCGACACCACTTCGCACAGCTTCACCAACACACGCGACCACCAGCCTTGTGCGGTACCACTGCGTCCGCTCCTCGCCGTGCCGACGATCGTCGATCCGCCGCGCCGAGCGTGCGACGCTCGGCGCGCATATCCAACGTTTGACAATCGAGAGAGAAAGAGACAATGCCCACTCTCGTTCGACGAACACTCCCGACTCGCGGGTAAACACGACGCGATAAAGACGCGGGTAAAAAAAAAACCAAAAGATTTATAGGTGTGTAAAAATGTAAAAAAAAAAAAAAAAACAGGAACCTGTCCTCGTTTGAGCGTCGTCCGGGCGATAGGTGCTGGCACGACACGCGAATCGCGCGGTTACATGTGCCGCGGCAGAAGTGACGTTTGCGACCACAACGGATCCGTACAAAAGTCGTCGCCGACGCTCGAACCGCTCGCACCGTCTTCGCGTACGGGGAGATACGTCGTTCTTCCCGGAACGACGACGCGTCGCCGTCGAACGTTAAAACGTGCGTAACGAAACACGCGTCAGTAGAGGAGTTTGGAAGCACACGGATGCGCGATTGTGACGCGCGCAAGCGTGAACACGACGGTATGCGCGCGACTACGAGTCAGGAAATGCCGCCGCTGCCGTTGCATCGCGAACGTTAATTGTGGACTGCGTGCACGCATAATCGGCGCGGTCATGAGTGGCGACGCATGCGGATTGAGTCCCAGGTGCGTGGAACAGGTAAAGCGGACGAACAGCCAATAGCGACGGCGCGACAGTTCCAGGGACTTTCTCACCATTTCACCTCGTCAATTGGCTGCTGCGCCCTTTGCTCTCGCACGAATCTCCAGTTTCTCCCCGCGTCACATAGAGGGCGCTCAAGCGTTTCTCCTTCTTTTCGAAAGACGAGTTTGAATTCACTGGTCGCTGCAAACTGTAAACAACATGCTGGACATTGCTGGATAGTTACTGACTTAAATAGCTGTGCTTTGCTACACACATCGGCATCATGACTGTCAGTGCGTCTTTTTATCGAAATATTTTCATGTTGAATCAATTGGTTCCTCCAAGTGAGGACTTTAAAAAAGTGTTTTGCGAAGTAAGTGTGATGATTTATATATTTTATAAATTATTTAGAGAATAAAAAATCAAAACAGACCGAGAAAAGACTCTCAATGTCATTGGTAATTCTACCTTTTTTTTTTTTTTTTTTTTTATTGACTTTGCAATTAACAAATATCATTTGTTTCAGGGAATGTTTGATAAACCAAATAATGCGGGATTTATTCAGGTTTCCTATTACTTATTGATGATTATCGATGCGGAACGTTTTGAAAAATTAATTGAGTGGCCGTTAATGTGCAAACAAATGGAAACAAAATATCGCAATAACATAAGGGATTACTTGAATGTTATTGCTGCAGAAAATCCTGATGTAGGACTTCCCAATGTACTGATCACGTACCTTCATCACGCAAGCGGCACAAAATTCACAATTATAATGTGGAAACTCTCTCAACTTGCAGTAAAAAGATATCTTATGCGTCATGGTAATTTGTGAAACAGATTTGAACCTAGTATTGTTGCTTCTCTCTCCTCTGGCCTACTGCTAACGCTAACCCATCGAGCTATTGTTTTGCTTTTTGAATGTTTTCTATATTGACAGTGATGTATATTTGTTTCATAATTGCATTTTTAGGCGATTACGAGGTTTTATCTGCACCGAAATTAGGTCCAACAACTGTGTTGAGTGAAATGTATCTGCAACAATGCAAAACAAGCATAGTTCATAATATAATGAGTTATCACAGAAATTGTGTGCAAATGGAGAAGGCTACAAACTTCACATTGGAGTAACGTTTACTCGCATCTCTATAAGCACAATTATTCTTACATTTGCAAATCTATTTTGATTGAGTTGGTTTTTTTTCTTATTTTTTTGTTTTAGAGAAGAAAGAAAAAAACTGAATGAGATCAAAGCAGAAATATTTGACAGAAAACAAATTTTGATGAATTGCGCAGCTGCAGCTCCTGTCGCCACTTCCATAAAGCAACGTTTGGAAAATATTGAAGATTCGGAGGTCATAGAGTGTGAGAATTCTATCTATTATTTTTCACTGTATATGTATTTTCTGATCTGAGAAAATTGATCTGCTATGTTATCTAATATAATCACATATTTCAGTGTGGAAAAGTAGTTTAGATAAAAACATATGCTTCATAAAAAAACGGAATGCAATATTGAAGGACGTGGAAAAAATATGTAAGAATATAATCGGTATAACATCAAATTTGTCAGACAACGCAAAAATTTTGGACATCAATCAATTGGGAGAGATTGATTATTCCGTGATATCGGAGCTACCATTTCCACCTGATGTTCGGGTAAGACTGGTGTTTATTTTGAAAGAAACGCGTATTTGCAAATTGTTAGAAATAATAAACATGTGGAAACATACACACATCTTTAATAATAATGTGATGTTTATTTGCTGATTTCTTGTTTTTTTCTTTTAGCAATATCTTTGCCATCTATACTCTGACAACAAATTGGTGTATCACACGTTTATATGCTTATTCACTTCGGTACTTCAGCAAGTGTATCATAAACTAAGGAAAGAGAATTTGGCGGATTTATCGCAATGTCTTTTGCAAGTAAAAGCCAGTACGGAAGACATGACGTCTGTGTGCAATGTGATGAAAACTCTCTTGACTACAATAACAAGCGCCTCGGAGGAAACACAAACCGTCATGTGTAAGACTGGTATACCTCATATACCAGAAGAAAATGAACTACCTTTTGTAAAACACATGCTTCTCATGCCGTCACCTCTAATCAAAATCAATATCAATTACGCGGATGAAACGAATGATTTACATAAATTGTTGCAATTTACTCCAGGAGAAGGTAAATTTTCAAGATATGTAGAAAAAGATTTAAAAGAAGATTTCAAAACATAAAACAACTATAGCGTGTGTGTATTGTGCAGTTTTTAATTTTCAAGCAGTTGTTTAACATATTGATTTTTACAGTTGCACATAAACCATTGTTTTCAAAGTATGTGCGATACAATCGGAACAAGACGCCAAATTTGTTCGTGTCTCGTATTAACATCGACAAAGCAATGTTGACACAAACTAATGAGAAGCACAGATCGAACATGCGTTTTGCATCGCCGAAAGTAAAGCGAGTAGATAACGAAATAACAAACAAATACTCTCGATTGTTCTCGACGAGTAAAATTAGAAACATGAAAGGTTTGTAATCCGAGTTAATTTATATTATTGCCAAAAGTTTTCAAACAGTTTCTAAATATTTAAAAAAAAAAATTATAATGAAATTACAAATTTATGTTAAATCGTGTGTGTACAGCTAATTCTAGCATGATGTCTCTGCTGCCTCCTGAGCAAGCCGCTTCTTCCACTTTTATGAATCCGATAGAAGAAATGTCCAGTTTGTTGAACTTCAATTTGGATATTACAGCGAAAAGTTTTTTCAATTCAAACGAAGGATCTGCTTGTGACCTCACACATTGTAGTCCAATGAAAGAAACTTCTTCACGAAACGTGTCTCACGTACAAGCGGAAGATTTTGATTATGAACTCAAAATAAATAAGCCTAAACTCGATGAATTTACTGAAATACAGTACGGAAATGATGAGAGCAAGGGAACAGTGATAAAACACGAAAATCGTACGAAAAGACGATCCATTAGCGATCTGGTAGAACGTTATAGAAACTTGCTGAAAAACAGCGAATCTGTTGAAAATAAGTGCATGAGAGAAGATGAGAAATTGAATAAGGAATAAAGAGAAAGATATTGAAAAATACATGTATCGACTGAATTAAGGTGTATCATCAACAATTTTTTACATTTATTTATTTATTTATAAGTTAATCGTCTAAGGTTATAAATCAAAACCATAGTTATCGTGATAATATTATTATTAGAAACAACAAAAAGTGTAGGGTTGAAAGAACATTTGATAAGAATTTATTATTCACTTATTTTGTTGTATTTTGTTGTACAATAAAGTATATGTATAAACTATTATAGTTTCTAAAAAAAAACTACTTAATTTCTTGTGATCTTATACATCGCGCTTTTAAACACTTTTAAATTTATTTACGTATGTCCCATGTGCATGCTATAGCATATATATGAGACGTGTGAAGTATAGATTTTCAGCATTGATAGTAAACATCGGAACGCAATCACTGTAACCCTAACCTTGAAATAATTTGAAAATGGAAAGTATCAGCGCGGGTTCTGCTTCATGCGGTTTCAATTGATTCCGAAATATTTCTGAAAGAGATCAAGAAATTTTTTTATGTATAAGCGAATCGGGACATTTCTAGAAGTAATTTAAGGAGATAAAAATGGAGTGTGAAAACTTGGGAATAGAATTACGTGCGTTGCCAACAGAGAATGAAACATCACCTCAAAGCGATACGGTCGAAAACAATGCAGAAAGCGGAGCAGATGCAAATAACCAAGAGCAATTGAAATTATTTACTGAGACTGAGAAGTCTTGCAAAACTTACTCTGGTGCAGCTTCAGTTGAAAACGAGATTCACCTTGACAATTCTTCACAGTCACATGTAAGTTTCACATAGCACACTGTTTTATATATGTTTAGATATATACTTAATACTTATACAAGTATATGTATATTTTTAAAGATTGAACTTTAAAACTCTCCAAAAATTAATACTTTGTCAAATTGTAGGTAATGCATGATGATGTGTTATTTTCTGACAAAATAAATTCTGCAGCATCTGAACAAACGAAAACTACAAGTATTAGAGAAGTTAAAGCTATAAATTCAGAAGACACCGAATCAACAGATTCCACAAGCTTTCATTATAATTGGTCCAAAGCACCAAAGTTGTTGTATGTAGTTACTAAAGAATATGAACCTACAAATTTGTGCGAGAATTTTACAAAAGGCTGTAAATGGTCTCCGGATGGAACATGCTTACTTGTACCGTCAGAAGATTTTAGACTGCGCATTTACGAACTTCCTAGAGATATGTATTCCGGTCATGTTCCTTCTGATTTTACACAGACTAGTCTTGCATCTGCACTCACAGTTAAAGAAGGAGGTCTTATATATGATAGTTGCTGGTATCCGTTTATGAATTCATGGGAACCAGCAACATGTTGCTTCCTCAGTAGTAGTAGAGAGAGTCCTGTTCACTTGTGGGATGCGTTTACAGGAAAGTTACGCGCTACATATCGAGCTTACAATCAGTTAGTAACATGTCATTTCAGAATTTTGTTTACATAATTTGAATGACTTTTTTTTTTTTACATAAAACCAACTTTTTCCAGGGTTGATGAGGTGGAAGCATCTATCAGTGTTCAGTTTATAAATTCAGGACGGGAGATCTGGTGTGGCTTTAAAAATGCTGTGAGAATTTTCGATACAGATCGTCCTGGACGTCAGACGAGCACCATTGAGTTTAAACACGATTTTCCAAACATGATTGGCTTAGTCTCGTGCGTTCGTGAAAATCCAATTATGCCGGGTTTAGTCGCCTTCGGCACTTACTCAAAATGTATAGGTATGCATATTCCTATTTGATATCTGGATTATATATAGAATATTCTTACTAGTAGTTTGTGTTATTACACTTGTTTTTTTGTTGTTATTTGAAAAGGTTTATATAAAGACGGACCATTGTGCGCTTTAAAAACCAGTAGCGGGGTGACACAAGTTGAGTTTAGTTCTTGCGGAACGAAATTATTTTCCGTAGTACGAAAAAATAACGAATTCCTGTGTTGGGATCTTCGTAATCCCGGTAATGTACTTTATTCTTTTGAGGGAAGAGAATCGGACACCAATCAAAGAATACAATTCGACATTACGCCTGATAACAAGCAAATAATCTCTGGTTAGTTCTACTTAAAAAGTAACTTCAAAATCAGATTACTTGACGTGTTCCATTAATATTAACTTTTATTTTGAAACACAGGTGGAATTGATGGAAACATTAGTGTGTGGGAATTGCCGGAAATCACAGAATACGATGAAGATTTGATACCGAAATATAAAATACAGTTATCGAAAGATTGTATAAATGGAATAAGTTTACACAGAACGCTACCTATATTAGCAACTAGTTCAGGACAGAGACAATGTGATATCGAGACTAACAATAGAGACAATAGCGTGAGATTCTGGTGGGTTAGTTGAAAATAATGTTCAATTTTTCATGTACATACACACACACGCAGAAACATATATATATATATTTTATCAAACTCACGTGTAAATATATAAAATTGTTTTAATGTATCATGGACCTTTTTTGTATTCTCTCTTCTCTCTTTTCCTTCCTATATTAAAAAAAGCATTTGGACCGAGAAGTGCACGTTTGGAGTCGAATATATCGCACCTATTGTTGCCTCTTTTCCGCGTTGCCGATTGGTTAGTTGGTTGATCGAGCCGAATCGAATCGGGGTCACTGACCTTGGCCGCGCGATCGCGGCGGTGTTACGGACTTCGGTCACGTGATTACGGTATATATATGTATAAATACATATATGCGTATCTGTTTGTATTATATATAGATATAGAATATTACATATATACTATATATGTATAATATTCTCTGTTTTACCCTTTTAGCTCACGTGCCTTTAGTCACGTGTTGTTTTTCCATTTCTCTCTCTCACTATTTTGTGAGTTTGATTTTCATTCGTTATTTATGTATCGCATCTATTGTTG